ATATAGAGTATGGCGGCGTTCCCATAGTAAGGCCCTTCAAAGTAATCTAACCAGGACGACAACATATTCTACGAGTGTACTGTATCAGTTGGTTCGCGGCATCGTATTCATTTTTATATCTCGGTGACAACTATTAATTTGAACTCGGTGAATGCATTGCAGAGCGTGGAAAACGGCGAAAATTCTACGGAACTGCGTTTCTCTGCACAAGACAAGGAGGATTACGAGTCTTCAACAAATGGATAGATCATCAACTGGAGTCTGTTCTTCATGTCGGTGGCATTTATGTGGGGGTAAGCGTATGTGATGAAAACTGCTCATTTTCCTCCATTGCATATATTGTCCTTTTTGATATATCGTCCGCGTTCTCTTTCCCACCTACCGCATGAACGGGTTAACAATAAATTCATCCAGGGACGTCTATAATTAGTACCGTGATTCACATTTTTGCTAAATCGTTGACGAGCCAGTTTGTGTTCCAAATTCTGTTCGAAATCCCGAGCTTCTCCTTCGTGAGCATGATAACGATTACAGTGCCTGAGTGTGCTTTCTACTCCTTCCTCCTCATTACGGGCCTAAACCACCATGAGTGCATGTCGTTTACTGCCCGTGTGTGCATCACAATGACTTCCAACGCCATCCTGGCCGGCATTATCATTCTCGGCGTGCTGGAGTTATATACTGATGAGGTATATCGTATCCCTGTTGATGATATATCGTGAGATTTGAAAGGGCACAAATTACGTTTTATCTTTACCTATTATGTGTACAAGGAAGTGTGGAAACAACGTGTTCTCAAATGTACTCGATGATAACTTCGCAAAAACAGGATGCACTCATCGCAGTGATCTACGCAGTTGGATGTGGAGTGGCCCTTGGTCAAGCTTTGTTTGAGCCCGCGATGTACGAATTGTCTGCCATTTTCCTTCCAGCCAGCCGACACACCTGTAAGTACCATTATCATGTGGTCAATTGGGACTTGTAATAGATCGTAAAACTCGAGCGCAAGCTGGCAAAAACGCTTCTTTCTTGGGATGCTACTTTCTGTACATGTAGTTGTTGAATGTTTGTGTCCCAATTCTAATAGCTGCCTATTAATCGTCTTATCTATTTTATCTTCGCAGATGTGTGCTTGGGGCACTGGCATGGCTGGCATCCTGAATGTCTTTGTCAACATACTCATTCAGGCAAGTGTCAATCTTACAAGGTAGCATTGTTAACTTTACAACCTCAGGAAACACGTTATTGAACCTACAAATTTGGTTGTACATTCACTGATAACTTGGCATTTGTATAATGTTATTTTAAGGCAGAGATAGATACAAGTAGGTATCCCTAGGCGCGGGAAATCTTATGGTTTGCTTGTGTGTGCACTAGATGGGCCTGCGGGTGCAGTATTTGAACTTAAACATCTCATCCAATCGACCCATGACCGTAGTTCCCAGTACGTTGCGAAAAACGTTGAAGAACGTATTTGAAGAACGCATTCTTATCGCGCTGGAACAGAAGTTGCTCTCCTGGCAGCTCGGTACACATTAAATAGAGCAGGCTATTTTGAATCACACACATACCTTTCGCACACGCACCACACCCAACCATAGTCCGTCGAGATACGCAGCGGAGCATCAGTAGAGACGTTATGCTAAAACCACTATGGAGTGCTCAATCTCTGACCGAGTGGAGATCTTAGCTTCACACACATGATCTGTGTCTATAGCTCCATGCCACCTTAGGATAGTTTTTTTTTGATTTTCAACTGCACTAATGCATGAATTGTTGGTTATGATACACATACACGTGTACTGTATCGAGTGATGGGTAAAAACTCTAAACTGCTTCCGCAGAGATTATCCTCAGCGCAAACCAATTGAAATGTTAGCTTAACATAACACCATCCTACATTGATGCATTTCGCAGCTTTGCATCACGGGTACCTCAGGCGACTCCCACACTGCAGACCAGGCGCGCTATCAAGAAGTTGGCTTCTGCGCTGCCATGATAATCGTCTCTCTGTCCAACATTGCGGTGTACTGGTATGGTATCCGAAAGAATCTCTTGTACGCCAAGTATATCGAGGAAGATGATTCGTTGAAGCCCAATAAGAACCCTTTTGCGGCGGGCGGTGTCAATACGACCGCCAGTGCTCTAGAATCATCAACCGCTATGGCGACAGGTGATCTCAAGTCTTCCACAGGAGCCTTGGATGGGCGGCGGCGCACGAAACCGGTCAGAAAAAGACAGAGACAAGCATCATTTTTGAGGAATCTAGTGTGGAGTTTCAAGCACAGTCGAGCAAGCCGGTGTTCCATTGGTTCCAGCATTTCTCGGAATTGAAAGTATGTTGTAGCCATGCACTGGTTTACCATATCCATCGATGTAAGCTATATTACAGGATAGTTTGTCCGACTTTTACCACTGTCTAGCCTCGCGATTGTACCGACCATAGCATCTCTTGTGAACCGCACTGTACTCACGCCGCCCGTCAAATCAATATCTACACACAGGAAGCGACAAGAATAGTTTGGCCTGGGGTACTCGCAATATATCTCTGCTATCTTACATCGCTGACAATATTCCCAAACATTCCCGGCCTGATGTGTCTCGGGTCGAACTTCACGTCTTTACAACTCTAGTGGTTCAACTTCGTACTCTTGGCGTACAATCTGGTATGTGTGCTCGCACAAGTCGTTCATTCTTACTGAGATGTAGCTGCACTACTCATTGTATATGCAAGCAAGTATATTGCATATGTGCAAATATATAAGTACGCGTATGTATACATGTACAGGCACGCATATTGTAAACAGGTACACGTTAATGCTTATTGTTGTCATTGTATTCAGTGCTGATTCCAAGATGAAATCGCATGCGACGGCAAACTGACAGGCTTACGCCGCACTCCGAAGTCCGAGCTCATCAGTTCCCTTATCGAACACTTATCTACAGGATGATTTCATTGGACGCACCAACTTTCCCGGCTACGATATGGCTTGGGCGGCCGAGAACGTGACTCGGCACCAGACATTGGCCATATCCCTCGTACACATGGCCCTATATATATATATGTATATTTATATATATATGTGTGTGTGTGTGTGTTAGTATATATATATATATATATATATGTGTGTGTGTAGTATATGTAGTATATATGTATATATATATATTATATATTGTGTATATATATATATATATATAATATATATATATATATATATATATATATATTTGTATATAATTATATATACTTATATACCTATATATACTTATATATATACTAATATACAGAATGTATATATATATATATATATATATAGGTGGCTTGACAACATTGCAAGCTACATAACATTTTTTAATGTAGTTATACTAATTTATACATCAGCGTGGGTTTATGGCCTTCAATTTTGAAAATATCTAATGCACTCCTAATCTGGACCTATGATCTGATCATTGACTTCTCGAAAAACCTCTACCTCACGAATAGGCACGACTGTGGGAGTTGCGGCAATCGGATTGCTGGGAGTGGGTGCTTTGGGCACTTTCCTTTACCGCAGGAGGCAGTCCGCTAAGCAGGACAAAGATAGCGCCGCACAGCCAGGTGAAGCGTACTTGGACCCCAGAATTGAGCAAATCTAAGCCATCGTGTAGCACGGATCGTATATAGCATCATGCGCAGAGATATCTTGATGCTACACCAAATAATGCATCGCAACGCAGACCTGGTGTCGCGCACAAATTATATAGACCAAGAGGCAGTTAATCGTTATGAGCAAAAGGAGTTGGTGATTGGTAGACGCAAAAACTTCTAGGAGCAGATATTACCTTTTCTTAGACACCACGTACCTCGAATGTTTACAATAGTATGTATGGTATACGCTATTGTACCCGGCAAACCGCTTGCAGAATGTACTCACACAATTCCATGCACGATCTTCAGTGGCTGAAAGAGGCCGAAAATTAGAACAGATATTCAAAACAATAATAAATGATATGAATAACAATGACATAAATATTGATCCGAATAGACGAAACGATACGTACTTAAACGCACTAGGAAATGAATCTCTATAGCAAGCCATCATTTTGACTTCCCGGCCGGCCCTAGAAAAATTGCCCAAAAGTGACCACCTGTAGTTTTGCACTGTAAAATTAAAATACCAGTGGCCACCACAGCCGTTGGCCTAAGTCAAAATATCTGATCGACACCGACACCACGGTGTAGTTCAAATTCCACACTAGCCGTTTATAGCCACGAGTATAGCACTTGTCAACACTGTCTTTGATCCACAGGATGCCCAGGATGCCTTTGTTTTTAGTTTACTATCGTACCTCGTACTTACTCGCGGTGCCGAAGTATCTATCGTACTCAGCCCTAGTGCAATACAAATGTTCTTTCAGAATTAATGTTTCATGATTATTCTCCTTTGTAATTTTCTTTGACAATTATTTGACTGTGTTATAGCTATAAATGGGGGAGTGGTGTATTTCAGCTGGTATGGGACGAATCCGTACAATCAGTTTCGACGATCATGGAGCCCCTGCCTACAACAGAAGAAACATTTTGTACATAGCATACTTTCTCATCGATCTTCGCATATAAAGACCATTGTATATAATCCGACCCTTGTATATAGTCCGACCATTGAATGTGGGCGGGCATGACGAGCGTTGATGAAACGTAGTCGTTTGACTATTGCTATTAAGTTTGCATGAATTATCTACTTTCATCGTCATTGACCCAACAGTCCAGCTCTCTATACTAACAAAACAGCACATCTATCTATATCATGCATCTGCAAATATTTTATTGTGACAGAAAGTGTACCTGACACTCTGACGATCGTTTAGCACTGGCACCTTTGCTTATCGTAGTGTGAGCTCATCGTAGCCGAATGTAAGCGCAGGAACTTATGGTACTACTACCTGTACAACTTATGATTCTATTTTGACAACTTATGGTACTACTTTTACTTAAAATAACTGAAACCTTATGACTTGAATGATAACAATGTACAAGTCTGAGTTAGGTTTATAGACCGCGTTTTAACCGCAGTACACAACTGAGCTGTCTTTGTGAAACGTTTACGAAGTGTATGGCCAACTTACAACTAGCTTGACTCGTGGAAAATAGCTACACGCAGACGGCTTCTTTTATAATAGGCTTATTGAGTAGCCGTTCATGTTTTCCAACAAGGCTCCCTGATCTCCTGATGCGTATACCAAGAAACCAATCATTGCATCTTACTGGCTGGCCGTCTGGAAAGTTCGCAATGCCCACGAGTGTTCTTCTGTCGTCTGATGCTGCTTCTGCAGCTCTTGGACAGGCAGTAATCTAACAACGAGTCGCCCTCTACTAGATTAAGCGCTCAGATTGAATTATCATCTCAGCATCCACATATCTTGAGACCGCATTTCGTCATTTTCACACATATCCCCGCACATACAAAACTTAGATGATCGCACCACCGATGAGCTTTCCCTGTATCTCTGCCCTCTTCATAGCTTTCCAGAATGATAATCTGAGGGGTATGAACACGATTCTCTCCTGGATTCTTCGTAACGTCTAATTTCAGTGCCCCTGGCTGTGCAGTGTGTGGTTTGACAGGTGCAAAAGGTGTGAATTTTAATTTGTCCTTAGCTTTCTTCTTGTCGTTGCCTCGTTGCCGAGTTGATGTCTGCGTTCTAAATGTGTATCCGGGGTATCAAGTGCTTCTTTGCCATCAGTTTTTGCATCTGCCTGGCTTTTATCCATCTCCACAGACAGAGTTGGTAAATCAGCATTGTCAAGCTTCTCGTCCCTTCCACTCTCTCCTACATCAGAGACATTGTTCTCGAGACTCACCTCCACCATTGGTTCCTCGTTTGTAGATGCCGTAGTTAAATTTTTATTTGTGCTTGCCATGATGTTGTGTGATTGATTTAAGGTGGTGATGGTTATCAGTTATGTTAACAGAATCAACTATGCTCAAGAAATCAAGGTAATCTTCACTCGATGGTATCGATTTATGGATTAGCGCCAGCTGGTATCAAGCTGGTATCATTGCACATAAATAGGTGTACGCAAGTAATGGATATGTGAAGTGTAAATATAGACTCTACGATTAAGAAATATAGGAAATATGACCGGAACCGAATATTGATGCCATGATTCATACGTGGATATGGAGGCCTTCCTAATGGCGGTGTTTGCCTAGCATATTGGTTGCTCAAGCACGCTAACAGTCTATCACTGTGGCAACCTGGACGGGCAGGAGATGGGATTCTATAACCCAAGAAACAAGTGATCTTTGACGCAATTTTTACAACTGCTTTTTGATTGGGTAAAAGTATAATATGGGGTCGCTCCGTGCAATTCTCGCGCAAAAACAAGAAAAATCTGAAACCCAACATGACCCTCTCTAGAAAGAAAAAAATTGCCCGCGACCCAAATGAACCAAAATTCTACATATTTATTAATTTCAAAAAAAATAAAATAAAAACATATGTACGTAAATATTTATACACATATTTACCTCTCTCGGCTGACGGTATGATAGCGAGAGTAGAGACTATTTAGTCCGATTAAGTACCGAACCGATTCACTTTGGTATATGCAATTATGATTGGCCCTCACCAACAAGCCTCATAACGTAAAACGTAATAAAACGTAGTACGTTTACGATATGAGCCTTACGTCTATAAGCACACTGTGGTGCTCATAGACGTAAGTTTATTGCGTATTTACGTTTATATCCAATGCGTAAACGTCAAAACGTAGTACGTCTACGCTGTCCTGGCCACCAAGCTTATTTTTGATTGGGACATGATTCACAAAATCTCCACGTCAGCGACGGTCAAACGTCTATTGCCTATATTATCATATTTTTAAACCTCCCTCACATAGAAATCATGGAAATGCACTTGAACAGAAGCCCTGCTGGCAGTGAGGTGTGGAGTGTGGACTGTGGCGTCACCAAATAAACAAATGACTTAGTCTTCTGAGACCAAAAAAAAGTGAAAATACTAAAATCTGTACACGCATAGGTAAATATCGTGATCCGATACATGAATATTTACATACATGTGTGATAGCTGTGTGCAGAAGAACATTATTGGACTTATACTGATCCCGAAAAATGAGACCCTCTATCGTTAGAAATGCCATCGGGTCTGGTGGTGTCCGTGATCCCGGTATGTAGTTATGTCACGCACTCGAATTTGTAGTTGTGCCAAACATAAGAGCATAACTTGTATTTATCTACTATGTCCAACAATGACATGTAATTGACGATTATTGAGTTTTATATGATTTATTATCGTATACTCATCAAATTGTACAATATTGGTATATGTGCAGCATCTTTCAAAAACATTCCCTTCTTATTACAGAGTAATAAGCACCATATATATATATATACATATATATATATATGTGTGTGTGTGTGTGTGTTATGTATATATATATATATATATATATATATATATATATATATATATATATATATATATATATATATATATATATATATATATATATATATATAAATACATCAATATGTACATATATATAT